TTTATTATACATATGTATATATATATTTACACATAATATATAATATATATATATATATAAATATGTGTGAGAAATATATTTTCATATTCGAATGAATTATAATTTTTAGTTAACGAACAACGCGAGATCGGGTCCTCCTCCGGATCATCATCAACGACCACCTCAAAACGAGCCTGGTTATACTATATCGAAACGATCTGTTTTTGCAGCTGCACCTGCGAATTCAGCGGCACATGTATGAGTTCCCGAGTCGCTCGAAATGTCGCCACCGGCACGTCAGACAGAAAGAAATAGAATGAGAGAATGAAAAAAGAGGGAGAAAAGGGGGGAAAGAGAGCGAGAGAAATAGAGTGAGAGAGCGACAGGGAAAAAGAGAGAAAGTGAAAAGAGCTCAATGTTCACGCCCCCGGGCCGGCGATACGGTAGGACAAGTACCTACAGGACTTATGTAGCCTTCTCCTTCGACTCTTTAAAACAACGATGACAAACGGCACGGTACTTCGACAGACTGGAAAAAAAAAATCTCTTCTTCTTTCTACATTTCTTGATTTTCTTCTAATTTTTTTTATTTTTTTTATTTTTCCTTTTTTTTTTTTTTTTTACAATTGATTCGAACAGCGCGATATCGCTTGCCTAGCTGGCTGACGTTGAGAACTCTTCGGCGATGCCTTTGGCGTCGTTTGCGACAGCCAATCGAAAAGGGAGTGTCCATCATCATCGATCGCTGTTTTCTCTTTGGATTAGAAAGACTATCCAGGCGACGATTAATTAATGCCATACACTGTAACACACTAACGATACATTACACGCGTAAGACATAACCGCCGTGGCCTATACCGTACACTGATAAATACATACACATACACACGCGCGTATACACCCACATATAAATATACATACATATGTATATGTACATCAGACAGATATACAGGTTCGTACACAGAAAAGTCGATATATGGTGCTAGGACGATCACACCCTGGTGCTTAATTCTGTACACACAGAGCCATGTGCGTAAATTCGCACGGATCGCCTGCAGCCTTCGTCGAGGAGTCTAGATACGTCCTGACGTCGTGAACAGAACATAGATGGTCGAACATATTTCCATTGTGTGATATCCGATACGAAGCGAAATTAATTATAGTAGCATCAATATCGTTCCTGGATTCTCGAAGGCTTTCGACGATTATTAAGGGAATATCATATGCCGATGGATGGAGATATGTTGTAGTGAAAATGCGTACTATGTTCTGACGCACGATGCTAACAAATGTACCTGCATTTTAGAGATCGGGATAAATATCGGTTCCTTCGTATCATCGCACGTAGGCCACTGCGCGCCACTGATCTCCCGTTAATAATATGTACCATAATACTATTGTAAAATAGAGTGGCCGACGAGCAAAGAACGAAGGGAGCCAATAATTCACTTGGGGTGTGGAACGGAGAGATTATTAAGAGAGAAGAAAAAAAAAAAAAATAATAAAATAAAACTCGACGATACGCACTTCGCGAAGAGGAATGGCGATCCGCGCGCGATCTCGTCCTCAACGTCCACTAACTGAACTCAAAAGAGCAGCTATACTTAAATCGAAATTAAGCGTTGTAAAGCGGATTTAAAAACGAACGATAAAGCGATATACAATAATTTATAAATCGACTGATTACTTGTGTGAGGGAATGAAAAAAGATAGGAAAAAAAGAAAAAACAAGAAAGAAAGAAACGAAAAAAAGAAAACTCTACTGGTAACGTTTCACGAGTTGATTTAAAACTGTAATTAATTCAATATTAAGCCGACATATACATTAACACGAGACACCATACAAAAAAATCCATTCGTAACATACGATATTTGTATACAGAAATACAAAAAACACGAAATGTACATGTTTATACATGAAATACATTAGATACTTCGATGTATATAGATACACACTACGTACTAAGTCTAATAATTGTTAACGCGAACTCAAGTGAATTCTCGGCAGTTTTCATTTTTTCGTTCTTGTTTTCTATTTTTTTTTCTCTCTTTTTTTCAATTGTTCATGTTAAAAATTTTTAATTTTCTGATTTTTATTCTATTGTCATCTTATATTCGATTCAATGTTGATTTATGCCACACTAATCGTCTCATCTCTATTTCGTTCATTAGTTCCTCTCTCATTTTGTACAAAAAGAAAACAACGAGCAATATTACTTTAACGGTGCAGAAAATCTAGGAGAAAAAAAATATAAGTGTATCGATTTCGAATGATATGTGAACTTTTTCAAACATGTAATGGGGACAAATTTCTGTATGTAAAACTATGCTCGATTGAAATATAAATGTGAGAACATAGTGGAAAATATTACAAAATATTGGAAAAATAATAATATATATGGATCAATAAAAATTTAAACTTCAATGCCCCATTTTCATCAATTTTCATAATCAAAGATATTTTAACAAAGTATAAAAAAATAAAGAAAGATGTTCTCATTACATTTTTTTAAGATTGCAAATCATTCGAGTTCTGTGCACAATTCTATTCTACAACCGCATGAAAATGTTAAAACTCAACAGCACATTTATACACAGAACACACATACATACGCGCACGACGTTGTGTGAAATTACAATGCGCGCTCGATATGAATGTACGAGGACGTTTTAGGATGGTTCAATGTTGTTTTCTTGCATGGTGTACCAATCAGAAACAGCGTGAATTTTAAAGCACGTGGCACACATTCACGAGATACACCAACGTATGCTAGGTTGTTAAAGAAATTCGTCCATAGCGTTGATGCATCTCTCAAGTATGTCTTTTCGTGTTTTACGATCGCAGCGCTACCTCATTGGCTTGGTGTTCTGTGTCGTGACACAAATGGCGCCTTAAGATTTCTCTTTCGATACACATTAATATATTAAAAAGTTTCTGAGAAGTTAATCAGAAAATCAACACTAATTAATGTATCGGAATTTTATTGATATGAAAATAAAAAAATCACGAATCACGAAGAAATATTCTGATCTCTCGATCAACATTTTGTATAGAATTTGATCGACGAACGGAATACCAAGCAAGTGCGTTTGGAAACTGGACGCGAGACGGTATACTCTCGCTTTTCGGGCATGAAAAAGGAACTCTCGGAAGGTGATAAATAATTTCGTATTTTTTACATGGAAATGTAGCTTCTCTGCGTTGAAACGTATATTAAATATGCGTATACACATATATACACACGGTACCGACGGAGTGCCTGCGATTTTCGAAGATTTTAATGAACGTGGAGAAGAGGAGGCGCGAGCTATACGTGAATCACGAGATGCAGGGAAAAACGTAACCGTGCGAGAGAACGACGAAACGAGTTCTATACGCGTGTGTTTCG